CGTTTAAGCTTAAAATTAGTAAGGTTGTTTGATGTTAGTTATTATTTGTCTCTTTCTATGTATATGTTTTTCTCCAACCTGTTAGTGGAGGTTCTTATCTCTGTTGGTTGAGAATTAAATAAATAAAAAAATAAAAAATAAATAATTTACACTAGACTAGGGCGAGATGGAGATCCCTCTGCATAGTCTAGAAAAGTAATCTGAGTAAACAATCGTAGCCGTCCGCAGCTATAGGTAGGCAACGCCGGTAGCCAGCCTAGGCAAACTAAATTTTATACTTCCAAGGCCTAGGAATTAATGTACCATTAAGATTACGATCCTTGGAGAACTGATAAAAATAATATTGATGCATCTGGTCATGGCGTACAATTGCGAAATATGATCAAACATGCCTAGGGCCATGCTACATACTGACTCTGTTTTCTTTATTGATTTTATTCTTTTTATCTTGATTAATTTTGTTAATTATATTAGATACTGACACTTATTTCTACTTTCTCAAATTTACTGTCTAGTCAGAGCACATCACTTAGTGCAGATGATGTTTTCACAAAGGCTGTTGAAATAGGCCGATTTTGCCATTGACACATGTGCAGATATTATGTAAAAAATACCAAGGGACAGATTTAAAAGTTGTTATCCAGGACCCTGGGAAGGCAAGCATCTTAACCACCAAGTTATTCAACTCTACTCCAGCTTTTTATGTATGCATTCAATTATCTATATTGTAATTATAAGCATTTGTATATAGTCAAAATAGCTGGGAGGAAAAATGCTATATAAAAGTTTAAATGTAGCTGCCAGACTCATTGCTCTCACTTCTGAGTGTTCCCTACTGTACATCTTCCAATTGGTTACCCATTCATCTGAGAATTTACTTGTTATTTGTATACAAGTTACTCCATAAATCATTCCCCACTACATCTCCAATCTAATTTCACTATTCTGCTGTTTGCATCTAGTAGGTCTACCTCATCTTCATCATCTACCATTCTTAACTACTGGTCACCTTTATACTTGTGGCAATCATTCTTTTATTGTTGCTGCACCGAAGCTTTGGAACGAATCTCTTGAGACTGTGTGAGTCTCCATCTTTGACTGGCTTCAAATCTTGGCGGCTCAAATCACATCTTTTTTTCTTTATATTAATTCTGAACTTGGTTCCTTTTTTATCTGGTTTTTGTTTTTAGTTCTTCCTTTTTTTGGTGCACTTGGGCTGTGGTGTCTTAGTGCATAGAGATAATTTTGTAATAAATAATAAATTTATATGTAAGTCATATTTAGTGCATTATCACACATGCCGTAATTCTCGAATAGAAGCCCATGGGCTACTTCTTTTTTTAGAACCCTAGAATGGGCTTCTTTTGAAGGTGGTATAGTTTGAGTAATGGGCTTCTTTTCAAGATTACTTTTCAAACTGAAAAGGGGACTTCTTTTCAAAAAGAATATTGTGAATATTTTGAATTTGCTAGTTTAAAACCTTGTAGGACTACTAAAGACCTTTTTAATTATGGAATTTGCAATCCACTTCTTGCTCCTAATCAGTTATCTGATCTGTATGCGGTACTCCATTTGTTATTGTTTTGAATGCTCGAGTTAATACACTGTAAAGATCGGTGAACTATTTTTGCTGATTGTGTCTGTTGTAAACGACACCATAATTACTGTTTCTGTATTTTTAACATGAAATTTCTGTTACAATATCACTAGCAAATGTTTTAATGAAATGAAAACAATCAACTTGAAACGATTCAAGCCCGATGACAAGAGAAAAAAATGTGACTTTGACCTCTGTCAGTCAAAAAAATATGGTTAAGCCCTTAATCATTTCATTTTTTATTATTCAGATTGAAGAACAGTTCAGAAAAAATTTCAACAAAATCAAAGGTACTCCATATGAATGTCATGTGAAGAGAACAGTTTACGCCATCGATAACCAGTTTGCATCACAAAGCTAGATGGTGAAGGAACTTTTAACGAGTTGTTTGTGGATTTCTTAAAACGATGCATGATACGATACCGCTCAAGTGGCTAAAATTCAACTAATACTGCAGGAGATTGGTAGGGAAATTGTGTGCAAGACTTACGATGAAGTATGATTTTATTATAAATTTGTATAGAAATGTTTACTGACTTTGATTAAATGTATTACAGTATTTTTTATAATAATAATAATAATAATAATTTTGGCTTATATAGCGCATTATGCTAAAGCCTCAATGCGCTTAACAGTAAAAATAAAATTCGGGGGAAAAAATTAAGAAAAATACAAGTTAAAAAGGTGAGTTTTTAAAGC